GATAGGGATAGGGATAGGGATAGGGATAGGGATAGGGATAGGGATAGAGTAGGGTAGGGTAGGGTAGAGTAGAGTAGAGTAGAGTAGAGTAGAGTAGAGTAGAGTAGAGTAGAGTAAAATTCTTCATTGGCCGTCTGATCGGACACACAAGGAATTTGTCTTCAGTGCATAAGCTCTCAGTGTACATAAAAGCTATAAATGATAAATTGCCTCTACAGTGTCATGAGGAAGGGAGTAGAGGACTTTTTGCCTCCAAAGCTCCATGAGATATTGTAGAGAAGATCCACAAGTGTTTTGGGGTTGGATGTAGATGTTCTGAATCTGGAGAAATCCAAGGAAGGACAACTTCCTGTCTTTTCTCAGAATGGCAATAGCGCTAGCCCTTAGACTTATATACCACTTCATAGAGTCCTTTCCAGCTCTCTCTAAGCAATTTACAGAGTCAGCCTATTTCTCTCAACAATTTTGGGCCCTCATTTTATTGACGTCCGAAGGACGGAAGGCTGAGTCAACCTTGAGCCTGTTTAGGATTGAACTCCAGGCTGTGAGCAGAGTTTGCCTACAATACTGCATTGTAACCACTGCACCACCACAGCTCTAAATTAAAATAAAACCCTGCTAGAGATTTGGGGGAAATGCTGTCAGAAAAGTGAATGAGGTAGGCAAGGAACACCTTTTTTAAAATATTTTTTATCTTTTATAAAACATCTCATTAGGTGAACAACATGTTTCCAGATTTTACATTTCCATACAAACGTGACCATAATTACATACCAACTTTTATATCCAAATTAAAATCATATTATTACTTATGACCTTTTTCTTTAAATAATCTCATATATTATTTAACAATATTATCCATATTCTTATTCCATTTCTATAATAATTATACGCATATTCTTAGATCTATCACATTTGCAATTTTTTCTACATGCAATTGTTCCATTCAAAGGTTTTTCCCCTTTTATTACCAATTTGCATATATATATGCGACACTGACTGTTTCCAGAAGTTCATTTCTTTGGTGCTTTTTGGAATGGCCAAGTCACAGCAAAACTAGAGGTGAGCCTTGGGGATAAATTTGACCTCTGAAGCTGAAAAAATGGGGTCCATTGAGTAAGGATTAAATACATGCCACCCAGACCAGAAGTTATGAAGTTTCAGGTCATTGCATTTTCTCAAAAGCAGAGACATCACTTTCATTCAAAACATCTGTGATGATCCAGAGCGTGGCACAAAAGCAACAAAGTCACAAAAGTAGGTAAAGTCCCTTTAATACCTCCAATTTGGCCTCCAATGTCCAGTTATCATCAGCTGGAGAAAAAACTCTCCAAGAACAGGTTTTAAAGGGAAGAAATTCAGTCCGAACCCAAAGTACATATAAATCATAAATAAAAACCAACACAAACCACGCTGCAGCAATTAACAAGAGAGGGCAGGATAAGGAATTGCAGACTTCAAAAAATAATGAAACATACACAGTTGGGAGGATGCCAGAACCTAGATAAGACTCAACAAACAAAAATAATTCACGCTTTGCTTCCAGCAAGGTGCTGTGCGCAAACACCCTTTTAAAATCCTGTTTTCCCAGCTGCAGCTAATGAAGGGAATCAGGGCCCTTTTCTCCCCCATAACTCATGTTGCTCCCTTCTCCATTCCCCCTGCATGCCCTAGGATGAAGAAAGGGTGGCCCTGGATCTTCCTCTGAATGCCCAGCCAGACTGTGCCTTTCTCCAGTTTCTTCCATAACCACCAGAGCAACACTCCCACTCCCTGTCAGCTGCTCAACCTCCCCCTCAGAATCAGATTCCAACAGGGGGCATGACACATCAAAATACAAAACAGAGTTTTGGTGAGCTCCAAAACAGTAACAGCTTCTGGTCTTTTGCAGCACCTGCCGTGCTCGAAAATGGGAATGTACGGAAAATGTCTGTGATGGAAAATGTTCGGTGATTGGAGCCGCTCATTACTTGACCTTTGATGGACTGAAATACATGTTTCCTGGGAATTGTCAATATGTGCTTGTTCAGGTAAGACTCGGGATGTGATGCTCTAAGGCAGGGCTGTCAAAGTCAAGTCCTGTGGGCCGAATCCAGCCTGTGGGGTGCTTAGATCTGGAAACAGCAAAGGACCAGCCTGCGGTGCCTCTACCAGTGAAAACAGAGTTTGGGGGCGGGCTTTGTTTTCACTGGGAGAAGTCTGCAGGTGGCCATCGTGGCTGAAAACGGGGCCTGGGCTCTGTTTTCACTGGCAGAGGGCTCACAAAACAAACTAAAAACAAAAGAAAAGGAGAAATGTTTTCCCTTTTGCATTTGAACATGCAAGAAGGGGCAGGAATGGAGAAAAGGAAAGAGGAAAGACAAAGAAAAAGAAGGGAAGATGGGAAGAGAGCAAGGGAGGAAAAAGAAGGGAAGAGGGGAAGGAAGAAGAAAGGAGAAGGAAAGAAAGAAGGAAAGAAGGAAGGAAGAAAAAAGAAGGAAGGAAGGGAAGGAAGGAAGGAAGGAAGGAAGGAAGGAAGGAAGGAAGGAAGGAAGGAAGGAAGGAGATTATAATGAGCGTGAGGGAGGGCCTGAGGGAAATCCTGCCTTAGAACTTGGCCACCACAGGTGTCCCCCACACGAGTGACGTTGAGCTGGCCATGCCCCTCCCCCACGGCCAAACACAATCCTGATGTGTCCCTCAATGAAATTGAGTTTGACACCCTTGCTCTAAGGGGAAATGCAGAGGTGGCTTGGGGTCATACCGAGAGTAAAATTACACCGAGAAGAATGAAAATATTGCTCTTCTTGAAGTGCTTTAGCAGTGTTGTCAGAGGTAATGGACATCACTGCAGGTTTCACATCAGGTTACATGGCTGGGGATCTTCAGTGAAGCTCAGATCTTCGTGCTGTTCATTGTCAGCCACTGAGAAGAGGGAGGGAAGCAGATTCATGAAAATCAAGGTTCGACTCCCAAGGGTTTCTCCAAGAAACCCCAAGGATTAGATTTTGGTTTTGAGGCTGCCCATTCTCCGAAACTCTGAAGGGCTTACAAAGGTTAAAACCATCCAAGTACAAATAATATAACACACAACAGGGATCATAGAATCATAGAATCGGGCTGGAAGGGACCTTGGAGATCTTCTAGTCTAACCCCATGCTCAAGGTAAGAGTCCTCATACCATCTTGGACAAATGGTTGTGCAAACTCTTCCTAAAAACCTCCAGTGTTGGAGCATCCACAACTTCTGGAGGCAAGTTGTTCCACTGCTTAATTGTTCTCACTGTCAGGAAATTTCTGGGGCTGCCTGGAGGTTTTTAAGAAGAGATTGGACAGCCATTTGTCTGAATTGGTACAGGGTCTCTTTTTTGAGCTGGGGGTTGGACTAGAAGACCTCCAAGGTCCCTTCCAACTCTGTTATTCTGTTATCCTTTTAGACCAGCGGTTCCCAAACTTTTTCAGTCATGGAACCCCATGGGCATTTCCTCCCCCCACAGAATCCTATGTATGTATGTATGTATGTATGAATGTATGTATGTATGTATGTATGTATGTATGAATGTATGTATGTATGTATGTATGTATGTATGTATTCAGACAGCCAGGCCCTGATTTTTACTAGCTATTTTCAACCCACAACTTCTTTCATCTACTCCTATTGCCTGAGCATTTTGCATAACATAGTAAATTTGGAAATCACAAGAAAACGTTTGAAAAAATATAACCACGAACACCTTTATTTCGATGCAGGATGGCTGGCCTTGCGCGGTTTTATTTTAAAATACATTCTAAAGTTGATTGTTGTGATTTTCTTTTCGTGGAATCCCTATGATTCTGGGGCGGAAACCCTCTGGTTCCCCGGAACACAGTTTGGGAACCGTGCCTCGGACTTTCATTGCAACCTCCGGAGAGAGGAACGTTTTGAAGATGGAGTCCCGTAAGGCCTCTTTCCAAAGTCTGCTGTTGCTCCTTCTTTCTTTTCAAGGACTACTGTGAAGATGACGGGGCCGGGTCTTTTCGGATACTGGTGGCCAAGGAAGGGTGTGGCTTTACCGGGGAGACATGCACTCGTAGCATTACCGTTTTGTTTGATGGTGGAGAGATCGAGCTGCAGGGTGAAGAAGTAAGTTCACCCACTCCTTCATTGTTTCCACAGGATCATGTACAGGGACGGGCTGCTACCAGTTCTCCCCTAGTTTGGGCAAACCCGTAGCTAATTTTATGGCCGTTTTATGGCCGGTTCAGTGAACTAGCAAATCCCACCCCTGGCTGGCCCTGCCCATCCTGCCCCTCACCTCCCAGGAGTCTCTACACAGCCCATTTTGGATCCCAGGTAAGTACAGGGCCTGTGTGAAGTCTGGGGACAACAAAAAATGGGCCTCCCGGAGGCTCTGGAAGGCTGGAAATGGGCCTGTTTCCAGCCTCCAGAGAGCCTCCAGAGCCCAGGGAGGCCGTTTTCACCCTCCTAGAGGCTTGAGGAAAGCCTCTGGAGCCCTGGGAGGGCAAAAAAGGGTCTCCTGAAAGTTACGGAAGGCCGAAAGTGGGCCTGTTTCCAGCCTCCAAAGGGCCTCCAGAGCACAGGTAGGCTATTTTCACCATCTTGAAGACTCAAGGAGAGCCTCCGGAGTCCAGGGAGGGTGAAAAATGGGCTTCCTGAAAGTTCCAGAAGGCCGAAAGTGGGACTGTTTCCAGCCTCCAAAGGGCCTTCGGAGCCCGGGTAGGCTATTTTCGCCATCTTGGAGACTCGAGGAAAGCTTCTGGAGCCCTGAGAGGCCAAAAATGCCCTCCCCACACCATGATGCAGTAGGCCGACTAGGCCATGGCCACACCCATCCAACAACTGGGCAGAGAACCGGTTGCTAAAAATTTTTGAAGCCCACCCCTGATTCTTGTGTTGAAGAGGGGATTTTGAAGGCTTCTTTTGAGAGGGCTCCAAGAGGGAACTTCTACTGAAAACGGATCAAATCCTTGGAGCAAAATATTTCCCACTGTTGGGTCTTCACAAATTTTCTGCTCAAACCTGCTGAGGGATGAGAGCTGTGGCATTTGAAACACTTGATTCAAAATGGCGCTTGTAAACAGATAGTCCTCGACATACAACCCCAATGGAGTCTAAAAGCTCCATTTCTAAGCAAGGACTTATTAAAGAGAATTTTGCCCCATTTTCACGGGACTCTGCTGAGCAGATTCAAAGCTGAAGTGCAAAAGAAGAAGTCCACTTCAGGAGTAGTTAAAATAATGGCTCGGATGAGAAATAACGTACCAATAACAATAGCACAGGAATACTATTCAAAAGATAACCAGTGGGAGTATAGGTGGTCCTCAACTTATGACCACAACTGAGCCCAAAATTTATGTTGCTAAGTGAGACCATTAAGTGCGACTAGTTAAGTGAGTTTTGCCCCCATTTTACGACTTTTTCTTGCCACCGTTGTTAAGCAAATTGCCGCAGTCATTCAGTTAGTGACATGGTTGTTGAGTGAATCCAGATTCCCCATTGATATTCCTCGTCAGGAGATCATGTGACCCAAGACACTGCAACCGTCATAAAGATGAGTTAGTTGCCCAGTGTGATGACCTGGGGCATGGCACAAAAGCAACAAAGTCACAAAAATAGGTAAAGTCCCTTTAATACCTCCAACTTGGCCCCCAATGTCCAGTTATCATTGGCTGGAGATCAAACTCTTCCAAAAACAGTCTGCAAAGGGAAGAAATGCAGTCTGAACCCAAAGTAAAGATAATTAGAAATAAAAACAACAACACAAACCACACTGAAATAATTAACACGGCAGGCCAGGATAATAAATTGTAGACTCCCAAAAGATAATGAAGCACAAACAGTTGGGAGGATGCCAAAACCCAGATAAGCCTCAACAAAGATAATGCACACTTTGCTTCCAGCAAGGAGCTGTGTGCAAACGTCCTTCTTATATCCTGTTCTCCCAGCTGCAACTAATGAAAGGGATCAAGGCCCTTTTCTCTCCTGTAAGCCACATTGCTCCCTTCTTCGTTCCTCCCTGGATGCCCTAGGATGAGGAGGGGGTGGCCCTGGGTCTTCCTCTGAAAGCCCAGTCAGACTGTGCCCTTCCCCCGTTTCTTCCACAGCCACCGGAGCCACACTCCCACTCCCTGTCAGCTCCTCAATCCCCTTCTCAGAATCAGACTCCAACAAGGGCATGACACTGAGCATCCGAATTTTGATCATGTGAAACTGAGGATTCTGCAGACTGCAATGTCAAATGCAGGAGAAACAATCACATGTCATGCTTCTCATGCCGTTGTAACTTCAAACAGTCACTAAGCAAGTGGTTGTAAGTCAAGGAATACCTGAACTTTTTCTTCACAATGGAATTAACATCAGCTGATGTTTCTTGCCTGTGGAATATTCTGTTTTTCATTAAAGTAGAAAGCAAACCCTTGGCAGGATTCCAGCAATTGCTCTAATTAAAAATCATGATTCTCGAGCCAAACTTCAAAAAACTTCAAATGATTTATTAGAGGCAACATACTGGCACTGCCCTGTATGAAGCCAACTCTAGCATAAGTCATTTACAGTCCCCCATGACTCTGGTTCCCCCCTCCTCCCTGGGTATGTCATAAATCAGATTCTCCAACTGAGCACATTCATGGGCTGGGTGTCATCATTCACGTTCTCCAATTAAATATATTTGTGGGCAAAAACTCTTGTATTTTAGTTACAATCTTTTAAACATAAGAGTTGGAATGTACTTTTGCTTTCAAACTGCTGCACGGCTCTTCCAGATTTCTTTCCTCCTGTTTTTTTATGGCAACTGCTAAAACAGGCATAGGAATATTATTATTTAGAAGCTGACATGGAATCCCGTTATTGAAAGTTCTTTATTTTCTTTTCTCTCATGAAGGTTAATGTCCTCACACCTCCGAGAGAAGAAGGCAACATGGAAATTTTGAAGTCTGGCCGCTACTATATTCTGATACTAGGACAAGGGAGAATCTCCCTGACTTGGGATCAAAACATGGGAGTTACTGTCACCTTGAAAGAAAACTACAAAGTAAGTTGCTTCTGATTTATTACTTAGGATTTAGCTTGTAAGTTGATGAAGATTCTCAGTCAAGTTGTTCTGACCCACGCCCCTTTTCAACAAAGTAAACACAATCCAAAAGGAATAGAAACCTTGTAATGCTTTTACAAAATAATTAGCTGTGATAAGCACAAGTCTTGCCAAACTGTGCGAGAAAGCCAAAAGATAGCAGACAAGAAATAATTTGCAAAATAAGAATCTTCAAATACAAACTCAGGATACTGGAATGTCCACGAGGCTGGAGTTTCAAAACGTCTTTGCCTTCTGCAAAGTACATTTGTTTCACAGCTGGCTTTTATCTTCTTGAAGGAGGGGCCATTACTTTGCAGCCTTACTCCTGAGTCACCCATGCTGCTGCAGCTGCTCTTTCCTACAAGCAATCCTGCGTGCATGCGCACTTAGCACAGGCTCCTCGGGAACCTCCTCAACACTACTGCCATCCCCCACAATCTCTGAAGGCAGCAGTCTACTCTCTAATGGTCCTGGCCCCTCATCTGAGTCCTTGCTCTCCTCAGCTGTCCGCAACTGCTGCTGGCTAACCACAACACAAGTAGACAGAGTTGTCTGGAAGTGGAAGTTGTTATGGCAGTTGGGCTTGTTTTCTTTTTGCCATGAAAATGTTTCGCTACTTTTCCAAGTAGCATCTTCAACCTGAGCAAGTTAGTTAGGGGGACCCTCAGACTGAAGAAGCTACTTGGAGAAGGAGAGAAACCGTTTCAGAAAAAGAAAAAGAAAATAAGTTCAGATGCCATGACTTAGATTCCAGATTAGTAATCACTTGTTTACTTAGTTATGTACATTGGAACAAAACAGAACAGAACAACAGAGTTGGAAGGGATCTTGGAGGTCTTCTAGTCCAACCCCATGCTCAGGCAGGAAACCCTACACCACTTCAGACAGATGGTTATCCAACATCTTTTAACAAACTTCCAGTGTTGGAGCATCCACAACTTCCATTGATTAATTGTTCTCACTGTCAGGAAATTTCTCCTTAATTCTAGGTTGCTTCTCTCCTTGATTAGTTTCCATCCATTGCTGCTTCTCCTGCCCTCAGGTGCTTTAGAGCAGAGGACAGCAACCTTAAACACTCACAGAGCCACAAAGGTCCTAACTGGAAGCCCCCTGTTCAATTCTGGAGCTGACCGGAAGTCCGGTTCCTCCACCATAGAGTTTCCTCCTAGAACGGCACCCTTTTTCCTCTACCTGTCCTAACCGAAAGCCCAATCCATTGTGGAGCTGACTGGCAACAGGGAGCCGCAGCAGAGGGCTGAAAGAGCCCCATGCAGTTCCAGAGCTGCGGGTTGCCGAACCCTGCTTTAGAGAATAGTGGATCAACTATTCTCTGTGCCAGTCCCTCAGATATTGGAACACTGCCACTCATTAATGAATAGTCTTAATTCATAGTCTTCCTGTTGAAGGAGAATGAAGATGACATTTCTCTGGCTTGTTCCTTGAAAGGATAAAGTCTGTGGTCTGTGTGGGAATTTCGATGACGTCCCAAACAACGATCTGAGAAGCAGCCGGAAGCAGATCGAAGTTGATCCGAGTGACTTTGGGAATTCTTGGAAAGTTCACTCCCAGTGTGCTGACGTCAGAAAGGTATTTGTAAAAAAGAAAGGTGTTGCGCCTTTGAGGGTGGCGATATCTGTCTACGTTTCAGAATGCTTTAACAACAGGGTAGGGAAACCAGAAGGTTATCCTAGATTCGTGATGGCGAACCTATCGCATGCAGGCCAGAGGTGGCATGCAGAGCCCTCACTCTGGACACGCGAGCCATCGTCCTAGCTCAGCTCCACTGCGCATGCATGTGCGCCTCCCACTGGCCAGCTGTGTTTGGGCCTCCCATGCATGGAGGTGGGAGCACATGCACGGGGGGGGACACCGGACAGCACATGCAGAGGGGCGGGGTGCATGCGGGGGGATGCGTGCGCATTGCATTTTGGTGATGCATGCACACACCAGCATTTTGGGCCCTCAGTGCTGAAAAGGTTAGCCCTCACTGTCCTAGATCTTCCAACTCTAACGTGGCTAATGTTAAAGTAGGAGAGCATGATGACTCGGGGAAAGGCATAGAGACAACACAGCCAGCTGGAAGTTCAAAACTCCCCTTTATTGCTCCAACTTTTCCCCCAAACGCTCCCACGTTTATGGCAAGTCTCTCTCTCTCTCTCTCTCTCTCTCACACACACACACACACAACACACGCCCCTCCAGCAGCCTCTGGCTGCAAGTAATCCAGCAAAATGCTGTTAGCACATTGGCTTCCAGGCAAGAAATCCAGCGAGGCATGGGAACAAGGCAATGAGTTCCATGAAGCAAAGGAATTAGGCAAGAATTCCAGCAGAATTCCAGACATCAGCAACGGCACACAAAACTCCATGAATTTCAGTGTTTGTTCCTGACATGCACCCCTCCCCACAGTGTCTCCTTAAGTCTCAGTCCCTGGGTGTGCCTTGTGAAGAGGGGCGGGGCGCTCTGCTCCTGAGTAAGTCGGGTCAGTCTGTGCTGTTCTCGCCTTCTCTCAACTCTCCAAGCTCAAGGATCAGGAGGGGGCGGTCCTTGCTCATCGCCTGAGCTCTGTTGCTCCCCATCTCCATTGTCTGCCCTCTCTTGGTCGTCCTGCCCCCATTCTTCCCTGCTGGAAAACATCCGAAACCCGAGGGACCTGAGGCTGCCTCGTCTTGCTCCTCCCCATGTTCCTCTGAAGCCAACGAGGCTGCCTCCTCAAACTATTTTGGCCCCAGCTCCGGCTTGTCCTCCTCTGCAGACTCGGGCTCTGACGGGGCCATGATAGAGAACTCCTTCTCCTGGATGGTTAGAAGTAACCTGGAAAACTACCTAATTTCTGTGTGGTTTGGAATGGAGGTTAAATCCCTCTTTCTCCATCTTTGGAAACTTTAAGACGCGTGGACTTCACTTCCCAGAATTCCTGAGGTCCACACATCTTAAAATGGCCAAGGTTGGGAAAGGCTACCCTAGACCAGGGGGTCTCCAAGACTCGGCAACTTTAAGAGATGCATGGCTGGCTGAGGAATTCTGGGAGTTGAAGTCCACAAGTCTTTTAAGTGGTCAAGTTTGGAGATCCCCACCCTAGCCCATTTGGAAGGCCAGAATACGAACAAGCATCTTTGTTTTTCAGTGAAGAGCCTTTCAGCCTCAGTGATTTTGTTCCTTGAAGGGTTAGTAAGTCATCTTTATACTATTCGTAACACAAAATAATATAATCATCCTACTATCTCCGGGTAAGTGAAATGGAAACTCTACTCTCTATCATGGCTTTCAAGTGCATAGAATTAGGGTGCTACAGAAAATTCAGAGAAAACCAAAGACTTTGCAACTTAAATTAGATTATTTATCCAAGGCAAAATGCCAGCTACAATGTCTTCAAAATGCAAGAGAAGAAAAACTCTTGGCTTTAGATTGTGTGAGAATCAGATTTTATTTTTTTCCTAAGAAATGAAAGCCAGGCCTTTTGATGCATTCCCACCCATTTAGATGTATGTCTGTGATTTCCGAGAAAGGAGGATTAGCTCTCATCTTTTTTTAATGACCCCATAATCCCTTGCAGGGTGGAGTCTGGGCAATGGAATGGAGCTGAGTGTTTACTGGCCGGATGCCCTTTCTGTCACCAAACTGGAGTTATATTCAGCAGATATATTCTCATCGTGCCCAGAAAGAGAAATATCTGCCTGTACCTAGGATCGAACTCACAGCCTCCTGATAGTGAGGCAAGAGCTCCATCGCTAGGCCACCGCACCACCCTTAGCCCTCATTGCTATGAAGATGATAAATTGACAGGTAATTGATGGCTGCCGTATTTCTTGGCATTATGATGTATTTCTCCTCTTTTTGCAGCTTTCCCAAGGGCAGGACCTGGCGTCTTCACTGTGCAATGGGAACGTATTAAAACGGGTGATGGTGGAGACATCGTGCAGCGTCTTGAACAGCGATCTCTTCAAAGAATGCAAAAAACTGGTAAGCCATTTCTTATCCAGATAATAATTCTCATTCTGGCTCCTGTGGCTGGATAACCATTTGTCACTCGAATTAATCACTAACTGTTCAACTATTACAAAGTCTGCACTACTATTACTGTTAATCTTCTCATCACTCCTTATCACCCATCCCCTCCCACTTGTGACTGTATGACTGTAACTTTGTCGCTTACGATTTATATTGACTGTTTCCTAGTATGATTTGATTGCTGATTGTACCCTATGACTATTGTTAAGTGTTATAGCTTATGATTCTTGACTTTTGACGAATGTATCTTTTCTTTTAGGTACACTGAGAGCATTTGCACCAAACAAATTCCTTGTGTGTCCAATCACACTTGGCCAATAAAGAATTCTATTCTATTCTATTCTATTCTATTCTATTCTATTCTATTCTATTCTATTCTATTCTATTCTATTCTATTCTA